GGCAAGACCATCACGCTCGAGGTCGAATCGAGCGACACCATTGACAATGTCAAGGCTAAGATTCAGGACAAGGAAGGTAAAGCCCTCTTCTTCGTTTGTTTATTTTCAGCTCAATTGATCCTTTTCAGCTTCTTTTATGTTTAATTAGAAAAGATGAAAAGAAAAAACCATGAATGGATCTTTCTTCATTTTTTTTTTTTTTGAACAATTTAGCTAATCGAAAATATTCAGCTTCTTTCGTGTTAATATATGATTGCAAATGGGAAAAAAATCCATTTATTAAGTTTTTTGATGATATAGCTTATGGGGAAATGCTAGGGTTGGATCCTAGTTAGATAAGATAGATAGATGATCTAATGGTTAAAACACTCGACGGGATGATACCGTAACGGGACCGTAGCATTTCCCTAGCTTATGAACCATATGCAGCAGCTTTCATGTTAACTTAGATATTGTAAAAGAAAAAAGAATGGATTTTTATTTACCTTATAGACCATATTCATCTTCTTTTAATGTTCATTTAGGATTGCAAAATAAACAAAAATAAAGAATGGATTTTTGCTCAGTTTTTTTTTTTTTTCAATAAAATCTGAGAAGGTGTTCTTTGTTTATGTTTCAGGGATCCCGCCGGATCAGCAGCGTTTGATCTTCGCCGGAAAGCAGCTCGAAGATGGAAGAACCCTAGCTGATTACAACATCCAGAAAGGTATCTTGCCATCGTCTTTACCTTTTAGTTTCTTAATTGCTTTTTTTTTTTCAGTTTTTCAATTTTTTAGATCTTGTTTGATGAATTTGTGTAGAGTCAACTCTGCATCTGGTTCTGAGGCTCAGGGGTGGAATCATTGAGCCTTCTCTTATGGCTTTAGCGAGAAAATTCAATCAGGAGAAGATGATTTGCCGCAAGTAAGCTTACAGAGCCAAGTATAATTGCTGATTATTCTTTTGTTTTTTTTCATTTTTTTTATTCAATTCGATGGGTTCTTTTCTTTGTCAGTATTTGCAAGTAATATATGGTTCTACTGCTCTCAGTTTTATCTTATTTATATGATGATAATAAATATTGTGAAAGACATTCCACAACAGCATGGAAATGGCTACTGAGCTACAGATATCCATTTTAGATTTTAACATTCATCTGCAGTCTTTATTGGTTGGATACAAGATGCCATGTGTTGTTATTGTATGTACCAATTCTTTATCTGTCATAAGTTATGTTGAATTTTATTTTTGTTTTCCCCTAAAATTTGTTTCTTTTCCATATTGTTTCTCCCCATTTATTCACCTAACGTTTTTTCATGAAATACAAAGCATGAGTCAGCCTGAACTTTGCAAATGGGGTTTACCTTAGCAATGATTCGTTTGAAGTTTGTATGTTTTTTCTTGGTTGAACCCATTATACCCAATTCAGTGATATTATTAACTCGGGTTAAATGGTTTTTGAATGCTGTCTATAATCTACATTTGTGATGTTTGTTATAATGTTTTACGTGCTATTGAATTATAGATGCTATGCTCGTCTGCACCCCCGTGCTGTCAACTGCAGGAAGAAGAAGTGTGGACACACAAACCAGGTTTGTATATGTGGTGTATATATAACCTAAAGCTGATATTTTTTTTTTTTTCCTCACAGTTCATCAATTTTGCTTAATAATTCTTGATTCTTGTGCTTGTGCAGCTGAGGCCGAAGAAGAAGATCAAGTAGACTGCTGTTTGGATTATATTTGATTTGTTGGTTTCCCTTTATGTCCTTTATTTCAGTTGTTGAACGTGAAACAATTGATGTTTTTGCCGGTTAGACATTGTATTATTTGAATTTTGGTTCTATTTTCTCATCCTTTGGTTATTATAGTTTTAGTTTATTTATGAGCTCGGTTCTTTTGGCCTTTGTTGGTGTGTGGCTTTACTGCAGTAGGGTCTCAATTGGAATGATTCGAATCACTCGAGCATTGCTATTTAATGAGTTTTATTATGAGGTTGGTTGGTTTAGGTCACACAGATGTGAGAGATTGGAAAGCAAATCAAGCAGTAGTTGGTATACAGTTTGCGGAGATGTTACGGTCCCGTTACGGTACCATCCCATGGGGAGTTCTAACCGTTGAATACACGTGTAATTAGTATAAGATAGAGATCCGACGGTTAAAACGCCTGACTTGATGGTACCGTAACGGGACCATAGTATTTCCCTATGGTTTTGTTTTGGCTATTATAGTAAGTGTTTGTCAATTGTTGTGTGCTGCTGCTTAGGCTGTGTGATATTTGGAGCAAGGGCAAAATAATAGTTGTAAGTTATAAATGAAATTTAAAATGGAAAAGAGTACCAACAAGAGTTCAATAAGCATGATTGTTAAGGTTGAGATTTTATTTTGTAGCACAATATTTCTGTGGTCAATCAAGTTGATATGTCATTATTTGGACAAAAACAGATTTATTTGTTGCTTTATTTGAACAAAAATGTCTTTACAATCTGAAATGTTATAATTTTACTATTATCAAATTGTATTATTATTTTTTAATTTATTTTATGTATTAAAGTTGTCAAGTATGTCAACTATGTAATATTTCTAAAACTGTGAAAATGCTACAATCCTGTCACATAATGATTCTGTAAAAATTTTTAGCCATTAGATGTACATTTATTGTAGATACATGGAAGGTACATGTTTATCTAATGGTTAAATACCCTCAGAGAATTATCCTGTGACGTGATTGTAGTATTTTTCCTAAATTGAGTACAAAACGTCTAAATCGAATATCACTCTTGACATTGTTACAATCACTTTTCCTAAATTGAGTACAAAACGTCTAAATCGAATATCACTCTTGACATTGTTCTTTTTTGGGTGTATGTGTATTCCTCCATATCTGTACTGTCAATTAGAAAGATAATTTAATGGACGAATTTTTCCTTTTTGGAGGAATAATATAATATATGGACCAACGAAAGGGAAAAAAGAATAACTTTTCAAAAAGAACTGGAAGACTGTCGGTGCCTCGGTTCAAGAGTTCATTCGCCGCATGTGGAATGAGGGTGAGGTCCCGAAGAGTGTGAACAAAACACTCCTCATACTGATACCAAAGGTGGATAAGCCAACTACTATTAAGCAATTTCGCCCAATCAGTTTGTTAAACGTGATTTATAAATTATTCACCAAAGTGATGGTGAATCGAATGAAGGGAGTTCTGGCTGATTTAGTCCACCCGGCGCAGGCTAGCTTTGTTCAAGTAGACTGTTGTTTGGATTATCTATGATATGTTGGTTTCCCTTTATGTCCTTTATTTCAGTTGTTGAACTTGAAACTATTGATGTTTTTGCCGGTTAGACATTGTATTATTTGAATTTTGGTTCTATTTTCTCATCCTTTGATTATTATGGTTTTAGTTTATGTGTGCTCGGTTTTATTGGCCTTTGTTGGTGTTTGGCTTTACTGCAGTAGGGTCTCAACTGGAATGATTCGAATCACTCGAGCATTGGTATTTAATAAGTTTTATGAGGTTGGTTGGTTTAGGTCACACAGATGTGAGAGATTGGAAAGCAAATCAAACAGTAGTTGGTATATGGTTTGGGGAGATGCTACAGCTGTTATGGTACCATCCCATCGGGAGTTTGAATACACGTGTAATTAGTATAAGATAGATGATCAAACGGTTAAAACACCTGACGGGATGATACCGTAATTGGACCATAGCATTTCCCAATTGGGAAAATGCTACAATTCCGTCACAGAATGATTCTGTAAAGATTTTTAGCCATTAGATGTACAATTATTATAGATACATGGACGTTACATGTTGATCTAATGGTTAAAAACCTTCAGAGAATTATTTTGTGACGGTGATTGTAGTATTTTCCCTAAATCGAGTACTAAACGGCTAAATCGAATATCACTCTTGACATTGTTCTTTTTTTGGGTGTATGTGTATTCCTCCCTATCTGTACTGAAATTGTGAATCGGATTCCTCTGACTATAATTTGGATTGTTAAACGCAGAAACATGACTGTCAATTAGAAAGATAATTTAATGGACGAATTTTTCCTTTTTGGAGGAATAATATATGGACCACAAAAGGAAAAAAAAAAAGAATAACTTTGAGGGATTTTTGTACTACAATTTAATTTTTAGAAATTTTCAATTTGGATAGACTTAACAATGTTGTCATAAAGTATGGGATGACAATTATAATCACCTATAATTCTTTATAAATGGTGACGCACGTTTGAAAATAAAGTCAACTTATGACAAATGTTTGAGAGATGTTACGGTTCCGTTACGGAATCATTCCGTAAGATTAATCATATCTGACGGTTACATGATGATCTAGCTGTTACAAACCCGACAGAATGATTCTGTAACGGACGTTAGTCTTTCACCAAATGTTTATACATCATTTCATGGGACATTCACTACAGAATTTCGTAAATTCATCATTTGTGATACGTAGAAATATATGCCAAAAGCATAACATGTGTATTATTCTAGCGTGAAGTTAACGAATTGAAATATTCTGTAATCTGCAAATCCACATAATCCCAGCAAAGCCTATAAATATACTCTTATGCCGCAGCAGCATAGAATGTGCATAAGCTCATAGCTAGCTAGCAACATTTGCAAATCAATCCATGGCTTGTTCGGCTCAAACCTGCAGAAAGTCGAGGCAAGTCATAAAACTCGAGACGGAAAAAGATGTGTCGGTGGCCCTGGCACAGTACATTGCCGATCTCTCTGCAAAACACATCAAAGCAAAGTGTTTGTTTACTGTCGTCCTCTCGGGCGGGACTCTAATTCATACTCTTAGGTAATTATTTAAGTGGTTTAAGGGTTGCTATATATATATTTATCGAGTAATGCTATAGGTACATAATAGTGTACATAAAGGTGTACATAATACTCACATTGAGTGGGACTCACCAAAAATAAAAAATTAAGTGGACTCTACTCCATGTGAGTGTTATGTACATCTCTATGTACATTTATTATGTACTTGTAAAATTTTTCATATTTATCACATCGATAATTGTTGGATAATACATTTGGTGCAGGAAGCTGGTCGAGTCGTACAAGGCAAGCGTCGACTGGTCCAAATGGCACGTGTTTTGGGTTGACGAGAGGAAATGTCCCCTCGATAGCGAGTGTAGCAACTACAATCTGGCGAGGAATGGCTTTCTTTCTAAGGTTGGAACATATTTTTCTCTCTAGGTACTCAATGGTATAATAATTTGAGGGGTGAGGGTGACAAATCGTGATATCATGTTGTCTTTTTTAGTTGATAGTAAATATGATACAAGTTCAACTCCAACTTAATATTTTTGTGTTATTCATGTCGCATTCCGAGTTGTACCGTGTTCATCGCGTCAGTCGTCCGTCTCTATAGACTATAATCATATGATATGCCTTATGGTTATGTAGTTTATTTAGTAATTAAGTAATAGCTGGGGTTTAGTAGGATATACCCTAAGAACGAAATCATGTGAAACCATGTTTTCACATCGTTTCGACTAAGTTGTAAACGAGCCGAGTAGAGCTCGAGCTCAGGGTGCTCCAGCTCGAACTCGAGCCCTTAACGAACTGAGTCGAGCTCGGCACGTTAGTTAAATGAGTCTGAAATTGAGCTCGATCTTGGTTCATTTACTACTAATAACGAGTCGAGTTCGAGCCGATTTCAAACTTTAACGAGCAGAATTGTAGAAAATTGTATAAAAGTTCTCTTTTCGAGCCTTAAAGAACCTTATCGAGTCCGATTCTACAAGCTTTAAATGAGCTCGAGCTCGACTCGTTTATCAACCGAGCCAAACCGAACTCGAGCTTTGACGAGCTGAGTCATGCTCGTTTAGTTTAATAGCACTACGTGTCGTATCGTGTTCCAATCGTGTAACATAACATTTACTCGATGCAGTAATTTCATTTTTTTTTTCCGATAGGTTCCAATTCCAGAACAGAACATTCACCCGATGCACTTCCACAAATACCCCCAACGCATGGCGGAGAACTACGAGGACCGCCTCAAAGCTCTAGCCAGCCAGAACCGACTCCCCATATCGGCCTCCGGGCACCCGATCTTCGACCTTATGCTCCTAGGCATCGGCCCCGATGGCCACGTGGCATCGCTCTTCCCGGGAAAGCCCGAGAGGCACGAGATGAGAAAGTGGGTCAGGTGCATCTACGACTCGCCCAAGCCGCCACCTGTCAGAACCACGCTCACTTTCCCGGTCATCAAGTCCACCACCACCATTGCCATGGTGGTCACCGGAAAAGATCTGGCGGATGTGGTCAGCAAGACACTCGCCGAAGGCGGGTCAGGCGGCGGCCAGCCGGTACCCTGCGCGGAGCTTCACCATGAGGCGGAGGGTGAGGTGACGTGGTTTCTCGACAAGGACTCGGCTTCCAAGCTGAACTAAATACTAATCAATAAAAAAACATCACGATTCATAAAAATACATACACACATGCATATATACATATATATGTGTGTGTGTGTGTAATGCGTGTGTGTTTGTGTTATGCACTATATGTGATAAAAATAAAGAGTGAGAATCATGGGTGAGCTTGTCTGAAGAAGGTGGGAGTTTTTAACCGTTGGATCAACACATGTGCACGGGTATGTGTGTTATTGTGTGTAATTCGAGAGTTCAAAACTCTGTGGGGCAAGTAGGATCGAATTTGCTGTGTCTACTAATATATGTGGTTGTCTTGTTCTTGACCATTAATTACTGAGCATAAAGTATGAATTATGATCAGTAGTATTGGAAATCAAATGCTCTGCAGTATATATATATATATATATATATATATATATATATATATATAAACATTATCTTGAGTGGATACATTCAGTCTCGGATTCGGTTTCTTGTCGAGGGTTTTCATCTGTTGAGAATCATGTTCATTTAATCAGGCAAGAATTCAATGTGTGTTTGCTCGACTCCAATGAGCTTCTTGTCGAGGGTTTTCACCTGTTGAGAATGCAAACATAGTATCAAATAGTTGTCAATTTTCTAGAGATTGAAAACAAAGTGAAGTTGATAAACACAATAAATTCAAATTTCGGTCATGCAACTTCGAGAGGTGGGTAATAAAATAAAAGGGGTATTTTAGTCATATCACCTCGTCTGAAATATGTTTTGAACCATTTTGCGTGGAGACTCGAGAGCAGCATATTCCAACTGCATCAACTCATTCGAACTTAATTGCCAGCCAAGGGCACCCAAGTTCTGTCCGGCTTGCTTTATCGACTTGACTCCAGGAATTGGAACTGTACCTTTTCCAATGCACCAGTTTATAGCCACCTGTAAGAAACACATCAATAAACGTTAAGAGCTTCTTTCTGCATCAAATGGACAGATAATTGTAGTGACAGTTTACTTTCATTCTTTGATCTGTAATGATATTCTCATTGCAAGTGATACTATCGAACCACACATTTCTTCAAATATATATATAATCTTTTGACAGCTAACTTTAATCTCCCAATTTCGGGTGAGTATTGCGCTTTCACAAGCCAGGAAATGCAAATATCCTCAATTTTTGCACCTGAGATATGGTCTTTTGTCTTTTTTCAGCAATTTCTCTTAGACAATCGAGCAGAGGCTCGAGCCCTGGTAAAATTTGTCGAAATAGAAGGCCCCTGTAAAGAAATTGCAGCACGCACTGAGATAAAGAAATGGCAATTTTTTGTAAATGATAAATAAATTGGTGACTTGAGCTGTACCGTGGTCCAGTTGGAAGATTGGTAGGAGAATATTTTCCGGTAAGCATGCCGAGTCCCAAAGGACTGTATGCAATGACACGAATACCAAGAGAATCACATATACTCTTGATCTCTATCTGATCATTTCCAAAGCTCAAAAGTGAAAATTGCACCTAATTCGAGCATTTCAGGTTAAAATATGATATTACGGATGAAATTATATAACATAAGCAGCTGCACAAGCATGTGTTTTGCTTGAAACAACAAGTTTAGTCTAAATTCTTTCTGAATGGAAATACAAATGGCACCTGAGCCGAGCTGAGAGGGACTCCTCGGGCCTTAAGGTAGTCGTGTACTTTTATTAGCTGTTTTGGTCCGTAATTACTTACACCAACTGCTCGTACTAATCCCTGTATTAGAGTGTTTTCTAGGATAAAGAAGCCATATAAGTTGGAAATGTGAAAATTTAGACGAAAATATATAAGAGGTTACAAAACAAAAACATAAAATAAAAATAAAATTACGTAAGGCGTAAAAGATAATGGTAACCTTGTCATACATTGCCACTAAACCATCCCAAAGGGCGCGTTCTTGCAGAGGTGCGTAATTCGCAGTTGACCAGTGCAGTTGTCCTATTCCGATTTGCTCGAGCTGAAGTCTATTTAGGGATGATCTGAAAATACGAATCCTTATAAAATTCCGTGCAGTCGAGTATATAAGTTCTAGCCCTGAAAACAGCATAACTTGATAACCGAAAAACAACTAGCTCAACTGAAAGTGGAAAGCATACTTGCAAGCATCCACAAATTGATTAGGAGTTAGGCGCCACGGGTATGCAGCGAATTTTGTAGCAACTATGATATTATCCATGGCCTGCTTATTTCCTTGGCAAGCAAGCGATTAAAATTATAATTTAGCACAAAGATTAGTGTGTAGAAAAATGCAGAAGAAAACAATTCAAGGTACTTCTATGTCAGCTAAGACATACACATTTCTGACAGAAAAGCAAACAAACCAGGGATTTCAGATACTGAAATATAGTAAAAGTATAAAACTACACCACATTTTGCATTTTGTTTACGGCTATATACTCCTCTAACACATTGTTTATTGATACTTGATATTCTGTTTTATAAGTATGTTTTTCTTCTGTGCTGCATTATCTCGTGTGTTACAAAAGCTCAAGGATATGTGATATTACCCTTAAGCATTCATCACCCAACCAAGCCTGTACATTAGAACTTAAAACAACATAATACAGTGCAAAAATTACTTCAACTGTAACTGTAACCAAGCCTGTACATTAGAACTCTACTATCTGCAGCTCATACATAAGCAACTGTAACTAAAAAACGAGCAAATACACACGCGGTAAGAATCATCAACCTTCAAACTCGCGGATGAATTTCCCAAGGAGCTTCTCGCTTCGTCCGTTCAGTTTTCCGGTGCCGTACGAATCGGCTGTATCAAACAGATTAATCCCATTCTCAACTGCAAGATTGAAAATCTGCTGAAGCTCACTGTCCATGGATTCTTGATAGCCCCACAACAGCTGATTACCCCAAGCCCAGGTACCGAACCCCATTGGAGACGCAATCAACGGGCCTATTTTCACCTGCCCACCAAAGAAAATTGAGAGTTGAAAAAAGCCCGAGATCGATCTCGAAGCCCGGTGCCTACTTTAGAGACACACAATTTTGGGGAAAACGTTGACTGATTACCTTTTGCCATGGCCAAAAACGAGGGAGTTTAAGAATTTTCGAGGTCGAAGGAGAAAAAAATTGTGAGTTTCGACAGAAGGCGGAGCAGCTGCTAACGTGCGCCGTTGGTGGCGAAAATGAAGTTGAGAGAGCAGCCATTTGCTTATTCCGATTGCTGCTACTTTTGTGTTTGAAGTTCAGTGGCTCTCAGTGTGATAAGAAAAATCGCTTATTTGTAATTTTGGTCCTTAAATATTGGTTATTTACACTTATGGAGTCTACTCCTTTAAGTTTGTGAAAACTCAACACGTTTGAAAAAAAAATAAAAAAATTGTTCGCGAATAAGTTCAACTCAACTATTTAGTTTCATGAACATTAAAAAAAAAAAGTGATTTGCAAAATACTTCTATTTTAATTGTTCAATAAACACACTCATTTTATTTGTTTGAATTCAACTTATTTACTTAAATGGATAAAATGAACCGAGCTCTCACGAGTCACGAACCAAATTTAACCATAATGGCTAGTAATTCGACTCTAATAATTCCCCCATGTCTTTCGACTCTTCTATAAATACCACCTCATACCACACAAACACAATTCTCACAACATCCTAACACACTACACCCCACCACAACACTCTTCACTCTTCATTTTCAAAGGAGGACAAGTCCAACTCTGTTAGACAACCATAATTTTTAACTATATGTGCATATATCACGCTTAAATGTCATATTCTTCAAAATATAAGGTATATAAAAGTAGTATGACATTTGATAGCATAAATATTCGCTTCGTATGCAAGAATTTGTGATATGAAATAAAGCTTACCCATAATGAAGATAATGATTTTATGACTTTGCTTTCAAGTTGATAAATTAAAACTCTTCTCCCAGTCCCAAGCTTCCCCAGTTAAATTCCAACTTGACTAGCAAAAGTCACAAAATTGGCATATCATTAGCATGTTCCAAAAAATACCCAATATAGTCATGTTGAATTTAGAAATTCATTCTATTTATTTAGTAAGATTCTACAGTCTCGTTAGGGAACTATTCCGTTGGAGTTTGTAACCGTTAGATCAATTATCCACAACGATTACATAATAATCTAACGGTTACAAATCACGACGAAATGATTCTGTAACGAGACTATTGCATCTCTAGTACAATTCCCACCCAATCCACCGCCACCTGAAAATAAATAAATAAATAAATAAATAAATAAATATAGCCACAAAGAAAAAGTAAAACACCCTTTGGCGTACAAACTAAGAAAAAGCCCGAACCAATCACAGCTAAATCTAGAACGAACTCAAACTCTACACGCATAAGAACTCCTTTTCCTATATAAACACAATCCACATTACCCAAAAACTTCTTCAAATCAGGA